CTGGGTTCTTTTCTGCTGGGCACCTTTCCAGCCACTCTGCCCCAGCCTGTGGCACTATCTGGGGTTTTGTGATCCAAGGGCAGGATTTGACATTTCACCTTATTGAACCTCACACAATTGTCCTGTCCAGATCCATCTGCAAAGCCTTTCTGCCATCCAGCAGCAACACTCCTGCCCAACCTGGCATTGTCTCTAAACTGACTGAGGGTACATTTGATCCCTTCACCCAGATCATTGATAAAGACATAAAAAGACATAAAACAAGACACAGAGTCCTGAGGAACACCACTGGTGACCGGCTGCCAACTGGATTTGATTCCATTCACCACCACTCTGGGCCTGGCCATCCAGACAGTTGTACCCCCAGGAGGTGCTGTGGAAAATGGTGTCAAAAAGCTTCGCTGAAGTCCAGGTAGAAAATATCCACAGCACTCCTCTCTTCCACTCAGTGGGTCACTTTGTCACAGAAGGAGATCAGGTCAGTCAAACAGGACCTGCCTTTCACAAACCAACAGTGTCTGGGTCTGGTCCCCTGACTGTCCTGTACAAGCCTTGTGATGGCACTCAGGAGGAGATGCTTCATGCATTAAGCACCTCAGCCTTTCCCTCACCCTTTGTCACTATGTTTCCCATGCATCCAATAAAGGACAGGGATTCTCCCTCTGGCTGTTAATTGCTTATTGTCTTTTACAGCAGTAGCCAGATTAAGTTCTAGCTGGGATTCAGCCCCTCTAATTTTCTCCCTGCATAACCACACAGAAAGGGAAGAAGCAAGGGCCACTGGGCATGGACCTTCCCTCCTACTGTTCTGACACACAGCAGAGACAAAAAAGACCCTGTCACCACAGAGGCAAGATATGCAGCAGGGAGAGCCATCACTATCTCTTGCTCCCAGCACCTGAATCTCAGTGCAGAAGGGCTGACGTGGGGCAGGGCTTGGTGACAATGAAGTGTCAGCGCTGGTGTTCATGCTCTGTGATACTCTCCATATATTCTTCTATCTAGGAATATTCACACCAAAAGCCTCCCCTACAAAATCCGAACCTCTTGTACACTTCACTTCCCCAAATGCTTCATCACCCAAATTTCTACAGCCATGTATTTCAAAACCTCTGTAATTCCCTCAACAAGCCTCAGAAGACAGGTTATCTTTGAAGACCTTTCTCCTTCAGTTACATGACTTTGCATGACCATCAGCTTTCAAACACAATTTTATCAAGTAAGACCAAATCATTTACAAGCACAGGTTGGAGTAAGGAGCTGTATTGGACAGTGAATTACTTTGATGTTCCTCCCCCAAGAAGAAACCCAACTTCCACTTATTCTAGGGCAAACTCAAAAGGTTTTATTTTAATTTTTTTTTTTTAGCAAATTCTATCACGTAAATGTTAACAAAAAACATCTGTACAATTGCCATGATACACTCAAAAGTGAAACAAATAAGATATAAATACAGATATGGATGTAACATGACAAAAGCGGAAAAAATAGAAAAAAATACATGCGCATGAACACGGTGCCAACAAAGTCATTTCTCATGGCTGGCATTTTTCAGAGCTTTTTTTACTTCCCATTTAAAACATTGTTAGCAACGTCCTGCTGTGTACTACAAAGGTCTATTTTTCTGTCCCTTAATATGTAATATTATGCTTGATAAATAAAGGGGTGGGGAGAAAAAGTCCTGATGACAAAGATGCAAGTTACATTACTTATACAGGTTATTGGTAAGCTAGTAATAAGCAGTTAAAAAGACAGTCTCGTATTGTATTGTAATCCAGGCAAGCACACATAGTGTACCTTAAGAAAGCCACATGCCTCGGTATTTCTGAACTACATGAGAACTACAGTACGTAGACCTGTGGGGCAGATGGAGCTGGGACTTGCCCATGCCCACGGAGCACTGGTGCAGCCAATGGCAGAAAAAACATCCACATCTGAGATTTCGGCAACCTTGCAGCTAAGAGCTGCCGTCTGCTGAGAGTTTTCTCCCATTCAGATTTTTAAAGCATGGTGGACAAAGAAAATACACTTGGTTTTCTTTTTTTTTTCCTTTCTTTTTTTTTTGTCCCTCTTTTTTTTTTTTTTTTTTTTTTTTTTTTGCAATAATGGGCAGCAAGAAAAAAAAAAAGGCAGCTGCAGTAGGTGGCTACTGCCAGGAGAAGGTGAACACAAGCTTCACCAGAGCAGTGAGGCACTGCAGCATGCAGACCTTCCTCTGCAAGCGTGCGTGGACACTGTGATTTGTAGCCAGAGAGACCTTTATGCTTGCTGAAGAGAGAACAAGATGATTGTACAGCTTGTTGAATTTAAAACTGGAGATCAGAGAGGTGACATTCAGAGCTAGCCCTTTGAGTACTTCAAAGGAAACACAAAAAAAACCAAAACTGGGTCATGTTCAACATACTAAACAACCCTAACTATGTACATTATCCGCAATGATTCATAAATACCTAAGCAGAATGCTCCTACTGTGTACAGGTAGAACATATCCTAGAGTACTCAAAGGATGGACAGTCCTCGACTCACGCAATGGAATTAAGTAGCACATTAATGAGCATCTGTTGACAAACAGAACTGAATCTGATTCAGGAAGTAAGGCCTGAGTCTACCCTTTGCAGCCCCGGCCGTGCCAGTGGCCTCGGGAAGCGCGGGCTGGCCGCAGGCGCCTTTTCAAGGACGAGCTTTGACCCCGACTGAGGTGTCAGGGACATTACAGTGTGTTCACTCTCAGTGCATACCAACAGGATTTTATAAAACATATAAAATCATTTGAGAAGGAATTCAATTCCTGGAGATTTGCTACAGTGTGCCATTCAATGGAAAGAAAAAAAATCAAGACCAACAAATAGCAAATGATGATAGACCAAGCTCCATCACAGCTGGGAGGGACTAACACCACCTGGCCAGCTATGCTGACCTTTTGAACCCCAGAACTGGAACAGAAGATGCTGAGCTGAGATGGGGAGAAACAGAGGCATAAATACTAAGCGGTTAAGAGCACAATTAAAAAAACAAAACAAAAAAACACCCCAAAAACCCCCTAGCCCGCTAATAAAAATTCAAACAAGACAGCTTAACTGCTGCCAACAAGTCAACTAAGTATTTCCTCAAAAGGAAAAATAAATTTGTGTTAAAATAAAATTTGAAGCATTCAAAAAAATCGAAAAAGAGCATTCTAACAAGCATACAGAAAGATGTGAAAAATAAATGGTCCACGGAAAGGCAGACACGAACCATGGAGCAGCCAATCCCCCCTTTAAGTGAGGATGGCTTTTCTGAGCCTGCATAAAGACCCTGGGGGAATCCACACCCCAGGAAAGCACATGGTTTCTCCTGCCATAGCATTACTGGTTGGGAAAGATGAGGGAACTAGTCCTGCAGCCAGCAAAAGCCTGCACATGTATGTACCAGGAGCAGGTCGCCTCCCCTGCTCTCAGGTGAGCAGGGAAAGGGACCAGCAAACTTTGCAGCCCAGTGCCACACAGTCCTCCACTAGCCCCAGTCCCTCCTGAGACAAGGACTGGGAGAAAAGCTGGCACCAAGTGTCAGCTCCCAGCTTAGTTCCTCAGGGATGGGGCTGAAACACACAGGGATAATGATGGAAGGGGCTTTACCCTCCCTTGCTGCAGTAATGGAGTCTCATGTTCTCAGTATGTTGCCCATGTGTCCCTTCAGCTCCCTAAAGGGGTGATGGAGGAAGCTGGAGAGACTCCAGGGCACTGAGTGCAGCCAGGGAATGCCCATGCATCACCACAGCTGCAGCCACAAGCTGCAGGCCCAGGGCCCACCACCCTTGTGTGGCACTGGGGGCAAAACTCCAGCTGTGATCCATGGCAGTTTTGGGGTGGGCATGCCCATCAGCCAGGATCCAGCCCAGGGCCAAACACAGCACTTAAATTAGCAACTTCCTACCTTCCCTGGTTACAGGCAGAGCCAGGGGGAGCTCCCCCTTTGCAAACAGAAGGGTCTCTGTTCAGGGAAGGGCAGTGCCACAGGGTATTTGATTGCTGCTGGTTTGCCTCTGACCTGGTCTGAGTCATTAGGCTGCAAAAGGATTTTTCCTGCTGCACCCTCACCCACACCACCCTGGCTGCCAGCAGTGCCCAGTGAGGGACCCCCACTCTTCTGAAATGCAGAGCACTCAGCAAACCTGTGCATGGAGATGGCCACAAAGGAGCTTTCTAAAGGGAGTTAACAGCACTGCAGGATCTTCAGGAACAGGACGGGCTGTGGCAGGCAACCAGCACTGTCCCAGCTGGCTCAGAAGCACTTCCACGTGGTATTTCTGTTCAGATTCAGACACCCTTTCTGTCCTCTGGGATGTACATTTTGCTGAAAGTGCAAAGGAGTTGTGGGGACAAAGCCATCCAGCATCAGTGGGTCAGTCAGAGCAGTAGATCAGCCCTTTGATGCTACAGATTTCAAGGAAAACAGCTGGCACTGAGGTACAGCTCTACCAGCTCCCACTGCCCACTCACTGACACACTCAGAGCACAACCCAACCCCACCCACCTAACCCCACCACCCTACCTGCAGACCTCAGTCCCAGAACTGGGTCTCGGGTTCCCTCTGGGAAGTAAAAGGTAACCTAGAGAGTCTTTTGAACTTATGAAAGAGCCAAATGGGTTGAGAGGGGAGAAGTATTTACAAAGCCAATGAAGAGAGCACGAGTCCAGCTGTTATGCACAGCACAGCTGGCTGGAGAGCAGTTACAGAGAGATCAGCCCAATCAGGGTCTGTCAGAACTATGTACAAAACTCAGATGTTTAAAAAGAACCTACGTTTTCATTACTCACTTGGTATCTCTCAGTATTAAAGCATCTGAGGCTGGAATCACAGCCACACCTGCAAAGATCTCCCCATGGAGGGCCCTGCAAGTTAGGCAAGCTGTAACAGGGAGTACAAAACAGGAACACAAGACTTGAAAGAAGAGAAGGACCCAGCCAGAATGGGTGGGGGGAGAGAGCAGGTAACTAGCACACAGAAACCAAAACTGGGTATGAACTAAACCAACAAGATTTGTTTGACTTTTACATGTGTCCAGGATCTTGGACTCGGAGTTAGAATGCTAACCTAAACATATTTCTGAGATTTCAGCAGGCTATACAAATATGTTTAAGTATGGCTTTCTGATGTTCACTTTTAATGAAGACTGCGACACAGACCTTGCTTCCTTTACATTCAATACCAGTAAGATTCTACATAAAAGCTTTAAGGGACTAAAATACTGATTGCAATAAATATCTGCAAGGCCTCCTTAAGCTGATGGAGCGCGCCAGTGAAGAGTAGCAGAAAGGTCTCTGAGAGGCACCGTTGATTGCTTCTAAGTCTACACATATGTCCACAGATCTCCATTAACTGTGCGTTGAAACATCTGAAGAGGAGCTGCTGTTGCTGTTGGTGGTCTGTGCCCTCTTTATATACAAGTTTAGTAGCTTCATCTGAAAGAAAGAAAGAAAGAAACATCAGGAGAAGATGCCAGAAAAAAACAGGTGGGGAAAAGTTGACTGCCAATGTAAAAACTTGCATTCTGTGGCGAGCTCACACTGGGCACTCTGAAGGAAAGCAAGATAACTGACCATATTTCAGAACAGAGACAAGAGGCCATGCCCAGTCCCACTGGAGTTACAGACAGACTTAATGGGATTTAGAAAAGCCTCTTGCATTTCACTTCAGCAGCCATCAGTTCACAGACCTCAATCCTGCAGCCAGGTCAGGTCAAGCAGGCTTCCCACAGAGGTCAGTAGGGCTGCAGGCACACTGGTGATCCAAGAGCCATGGGTCTCCCTCCTAAGAAACTTCCTGAACACCCTGAACTTTCCCTGCTTTATAAAATGTTCTTTTTCAATGACAATATATCTTCACTAACATGGTACATCTAGTGCAACTGCAGTTGTTATGACTATATACTTCCCTTGCATGGATTTGTTTTCTTTTTCCTCCTTGCCTTAACTCCAGATCCCATAATGACTCATGTTTACATTTAACAGGCAGGCAGTCTGCATAAACCCAGAAGAATTACTTACATGTTTATAGTTAGTGATGTGGAGTATGCTTGTGGCACTGAGGATACTGGGATAATAAAGCCTCTATAATATTTTATAGGGGGACTTCCTAACATCCCAAATATAAAGGGGCAAACCTCAGCACACATAGCTGTCTCTTTGCAGAGCAATTTGGAGGCACGACTGTAATTTGTCTAGTGACAAGACAGAAATAAAACCCAAGTGTCTTTAGTCTCAGATTGTTTTGGCCTATACCACACTTCCTTACCCATTAAAGAAACTATGACTTCAAAATGACAGAATTAAGCCCTCTGACCTAAGTAGCTATTCATGTGCACAGACCTGTTTCAGAAACAAAAAATGCAGAATTCATCTTAAAATTGCATAGAAATCTTGGGTATGAACACTTAAAACAGCAGAAAAAAATCTTGTGGTGGCTTGTTGAGCTGCTCTGAAAAGCAAACACCAACATAAAATTCTTGTCTGAAGGATGGAATTGAATTAAGGGCTTGGTTTCACTTGCAGCATCAGGTCAGAATTTGGGTTTTGCAGCTAGTCTGACTTCAGGGTATAAAGTCCTTTGAAGGGTCATTTGAGCTTGCTGTTGTCCCAGAAGGAAAGGGACACATGTGCCCCGCAGTTGAGTGAAGGTTTACCTGCATTTCTACCAGCCCTAATCACAACTTGCTGCTGACAGGATCTGCTCTCCCACCATCCCCATGCATTCCCATCACTCTCTGCACGAGGATGTCTGTGTGGCCACAGAACAGACTAAAAGCTATTTAATTTGTATTGCAGATCTGGTTTTCAGCCAGAGCAGCCAGCTGATCCAGCTCACTGCACATCACCTCTGGATGTAATACCAAAGGAGCAAGGCAAACATGGCTGGAGAAGAACCTGCTCAGAGGCAGCCTGCAGTTTCACAAGATCAAATGTATCATGAAACCAATCTCCGAACACCATTAAAATTTTCCAAGTGGGATTTCAAATGCTCACACTGCTGAGCACAAGTGGTGCTGCTCCAGTGGCATTTGTCAGGGTGAGACAGGATTTAATAGAGTTCGGGGAACTTGACCCAGAGCTACAGTGAAGCCACTGGTCCTGCTGCTAGTAACAGCCAGCAGAATGGCCTGTACTACCAAAACACCAGAGACACATTACTCTTGTACCTTGCTTCCTGTGAGTTGTGCGAGATGAGGTTTCAGTTCTTCTCCAATTACTGAATAAATAGCCACTAGGCAAAATACACTGGCTTTCCGGACACTGCTCTCTGTGTTATCATAACCCTGGAAATGAGAGGAAAAGGTCAGAAGATAAACAGCACTCCCCAACACCCTTCCTGAGCAATATACTACAGTGCTGATGTACATTTTGCAAATGTGGCTGACCTAAGAGATCAATAAAAAAAACCTCTGCTTAACATAATAGTTTGTAACCTGAGTACTCAAAGAGAAAGAGAATGCAATCACCCTATCTGCTCCTTCTGTTATTATTTCTGACNAGGATCCCAAAATACTTCTCAAATGTAAGGAGTAAATTCCTTTGATCACTGAGTTTCTACGGTAAGCAAATATCTCGGACAAACTAGGGTCTGAAACAAGAACCATTTAAAGTAATTGAAGAAGACAAATCAAACTGCCTTTTTAAAGGCATGCTGCTCTCAGACTTTTCCAGTGCATCAAAGCTTCGCTGTTCAGATTGTTGTCTCCAACAATGATGGCTAAAACCATTTTACAACAAAAGTTTAGATGAATACAGAATTGTCCAATTCCCAGAAGCTGAGATTTAAGAATTGCAAGAGCTGACACTACAAAGTTGGGATGAATGCCAGGATGCATAAGGGGAATTTCTGACTTTGCTCTTGTCCTTCCAACATTTTATGCTCACAATGAGAAGGCCTCTTTATCCCAGTTCTCCATGGAAGTCTTACCCACCCAAACACTTCTATCCCTTGCACTCTGACTGATCTGTTCCTGTCACAGTCTCTCCCCAGTAAACACACACATTTTCTCTCCTCCCTCACTGCTACTTCACATATTTCCTTCTTGTTTGCAGCCCCATCCCAGCACTGCCAGCTGCTTGTGCAGGGGACCAGAAGACAACATTTCTATGGCCAGTGCTCAAAGTTAAATCCACAGTGTACAACCAAACCTTAGCACTGGCAAAAACACCGCTCCCCACGCAGCCTGAGAGGGTTATGAAAGAGGCTGAATGAAGTCAGCAAGTAGTTTTGTCTTAATTTCAGAGAGAAAAGAGAAAAGGAGAAACCTGCCTGCTGGGATTAAAATTCAAGTGCAAAGTACCATCAAAGCACAGAACAGCTCAGCAGAATTAAAGGGAAATTAAAGACTACAAGATGTATAGAGACAGTATAAAATGTGGTTAACTCCTACCCTCAAATTTATTACATGGCTGCAACTGGCTTATTTAGGAGTCAGAAAAAGGCATTCAGTTGTGGAACATACACACAAGAACCTGAGTTTTCCTTTCCTTAACCCTAAAGGGATCAAAAACTTTATATAAAAAAAATTATTTTACCAAAAATTAAATGGTTTCGTTTACCAAAATCTGGCCCCAGAGGATCCATCATTCTCCCTTAGGGGCATATCATAAATTAATGGTGGCTTGTGCTCAGGAGCAGTGACATGGCATTCTGTACCTGTAACAACCCAGGAATGATATCGGGTAGGAGCTGATGCAACGATTCCTTGGAAATCCTCTCGATGACTTTCGTTTGCATTTTGATGGCAGCTAAGTTAATTGGATAATCTGCAGTCTGAATGATGGGGCAAAGCACCTTGATGCACTGCTCAGGGTGGATGGAACTCGCCAGGGTGGAAGCAGCTTCTTCAGCAGCTCTGACGACCTGAAATGAAAGTGGAACAAACTCTAATGTTAATGAGGTCACACCTGACAGCCACCATTGCTGGAGTGCTCGGAGTGACTGCCAGGAAATGCTTGGGGATGTTCATTAACAGATCTGCACAAGGCTCTCGTGAGTTGAGGGACAACTGACTCTTGAGAATTCACATCCTCTGTCTCCAGTGACATCTTTGTTCCAGCCAGTGGCAAGAAGTCCTTCCTGCCTAACATAACTGTGTTAGTGTTGTGGTTAGTTTGAAAAAATTATCTGTCACCCAAAACAGACAGGCACTCCCAGACCAGGAGGAGCAAGAGCATGACATCTCTCCAGCCACTGGAGGTCAAAGAACCTAAACTCACCAGCTTAGACTGACACAAGATGTATCTCCTTAACCATTACCACCAATGGCCTGCTGCAGTTTTCAGTGTGCTCCTCAGTGCTGAGTGCCCTGTGCCCATGCTGAGACACCCATGGCAGCTGTGTCCTGCCCCTTCCCAGCTGAACTACACTGCAGTCAAATCCAGGTCACAGACACAAACAGGCTTTAGGGAGGCCATGACCAGGCAGCTTTGCTCTCAGCATATGTAACCCATTCAAGGCAGCACTGGGATCACCATACAAAATTGGGGAAGAACAAGTGGAACAGCAGCAGCACCCACCCTCTGCAACAAGCCCACAATGTAAAGCAGTCACACAAAGCAAGGATGATGCTAAATTCAACTCTACCCTGAGAGAAAGCAGATTCACAACTTTCACTCTTCCCCAGCAGGTAGGACAGCTAGTTCAAAGAAGACCCAAATCTGGTCTCTTCTCCCAAGAGAATTTATTAATTTTACATTCTGCAGTAATTGGATAAAAAAGAACAGGATGGGAAGGCAGGTTTTCTTTTTTCAAGTGTCTGTGCTAATTGCCAGGCAACAAAA